AGCAGTTGAACACTGCTTCAGGGTTAACGGGGACTAGGCTTTCGAAGGGTTAGTTAGCCTGTCTTCGTTCAGCTTTCGCTGTGGTGGGTGATCCCGCTGGCCCAAGCGGAGTTCCTTTCAGGGAGACGTTAAACGAGGCCAGGGGTTGCCCCTCTCTCACTCTAGGTGCAAGTCAGGTACGCCAAAGTGCTTAGTATGATGCAGAGACATCAAAGGCGAGGAACTGAGCACCCCAGGTTTGGATTCCTGTGGATTATTAGGGTGCCGGCTGTGTGGTGGTGTGGAGGACGGGCTCCTCAGCAGCAGGTTTCCAAAGTTCACCCCAAGAGGAGAATGCTGACATGAGGAGCTTTTGGAAGTAATGGAGGTGGTGTCGGAAATTAATATGAAATACTACTTCTTCATATATCAGAAATAATACTTTGATCAATTTTAATGTAGAGAGAACAGAAAAGTTACCCATGGGGTCCATAAAAAATGTGGTGAGTGAACCTATTGAAGGACATGAGGATTATCACATGATGGTGAGTAACGTCTCTATTTTAATAATATCAGTCTAATTTCTTCATGCCAATACACAGAAGTAAGGCTTTTAAAACAGAGCAAGTCGGAGGCCGATAGTAACGGCAGCCTGGTGTGGTGGAAGGTGGGGCTGTTGTCGCAGTGTAAATATTTTGGGTGGCATATGGAGGATCTGCTAGGTTATGGAAATCTGGGCTGGTTTCATGCAAACGTTAGTGCTGAAGCGTTGTGTTGTATCTTCTGTCTCATGACAGTGTTAAAACACGAAAAATACCCACGATACAGCCGTGATTTCCTAGTGTTAGTGATGTTTTCCTATACCTAGTTGGATTTCTAGTTTCTGTTATATTTATATAAACGAGAGGCCTTGCTGGAGGTTAAGAAAAACTAATGATTGGATACTGTAATGTTGTTTTTTTTCTGTACGTGATTTTTCTGGGAAACTGGTATTGGGTCTAGCAAAATAACACATTTAAGAAGAGAGCAGTGCGAGTTCTACTGAATCGTTGGCTGTTTCTTTTAATCTGTGGGGTTTTTTGACTTCTTGCTTTCAAGAGTGCAGTAACTCACTTCTAATGTTGAAGTGAGTTCCTCATATGACCCTGCTCCCTTCTGTAGGGGAAGAAAGGGGAAATGTTACACCTTAAAATTATTGTCTGCAGGAGGGTGCTGATCTAGTGTTTGTCCAAATACTTGGTTTTTGATCACCCGTTTAAGAAAATGTCCTCCTTGGAATGATACAACAAACTCTTATCCTCAAGGGTGGGGGTTACTGGCGTGCTCTGGTGCTCCTGTCCTATCTACGCTGACACGAGCTGAGAACAGGGCGCTGTGTCTAACTATAAAATTCTGTGAAATTTTATGTCTACGAAAGCGTGGTCATTGTCTGTCCTAGTTCCTGTTTGGCTTCTCACCTCTGTGCATGCCGCTCGTTTCTTTGAGGCTTCGAGTGACGCTTCAGATTCTGCCTTCAGAGCAGCTTCCTCCTGTTCTTAAAACTGGCCAAGGGTGTTCATTGCTGCTGTGGTATCTTAAAAGCAAAGAGCTCGTCCTTTAGCTGGTGCTTTGCAGTTCTTTTTTTCCTGAGGCATGTTTTTTGCAGTTGCTGCTCAGGTAACTGTGGAGCGGCCAGGCGTTTGAGGGAGGCCGTAGGTGCGACAGACGCGTTTGCTGTCGGTGGTGGGTGAGCTGTACCTGTCCACTGGTGTAAGCTGTTGTGTTTCCCGTTTGTAAATGTTGTCGTTTTTAACTTTGCAGGCATTTCAGCTGGGCCCAACAGAAGCGTCTTACTACTGGGTCTATTGGGTACCGACTCAATATGTTGATGCAATCAAAGACACGGTGCTGGGAAAGTGGCAGTATTTTTGAAAGCACGCTCACCTCTGGCACAGGAAAATGACACAAAGCTAAGGACACTGCTGGGAGAGGCCTCCAACAGCCCTGGATGTGACAGTCCTGGAACTTATTAATAAAATATTATAAACGAGGCGGTGATGGAAGCCAGAGGTGATGTTCTTTCACCATTAGTTTACTTTTAACTTAAAAATTTCACCATCCCTTTTCTGCAGTCAGCTTCAACCATATTTAAAGCAAATACAATGGAAATCAATAAATCTGAATTCACAAAATATTGTGTGTAATACACTTAAATCTGCTGAGAGTTGATCTTCCAATTTAGTTTTAAAAAGAAAATATTACAATGTACTGTTGAGGATTTTTTACATGGTTTGAACAAAAACAGATATTTTCATAATCTTTCAGTTACAAGCGTTAGACTTAATTTAGTTACTTGGTTGTGACTGAGAATTTCAGAAACAGTTTTTTAAAAATAAACTTTAAAACCGTATGCAAAGTTGATGTTTAGTAAGCCATATTCTGCTGGCCCTTTTATTTCAGGTCTGAATCTTTGGTAGCAAAACTCTTAATTTCTTTACATTTTTATTCTTTTTCAACCCAAAGATGCCCTGCTGTTGTTGGTTTTTTTTTTCCCCCTCTCCTTCTTTCCCGTGCTGGACACTCCGGGCTGGTGCTCTGTGTAGCACGTTTGGAGCAGAGGAACACTGCTGTGGGTGTGTGTGGTCCCGGTGACCCAGTGCTGCTTGCTGTCCCCTTTGTGCCGCCTCGGTTGTCCCCCTGCTGCCTGCACACCTCTCTGCTCTGCGCTGCCCTGCCCCGCGGCGCGGTGTGTTCCGGAGCGTTGTCTTCGTCGCGCGCGTTGCGGCCCGGAGCCACCTGGCAGCTGTTGCGATGACGCTGACCCGTTTGACTGAAGAAAAGGCTCCGGCGTGCCCGGCGTGAGCGGGTGCAGGGGGGGCACGGCTCTGGCGAGGGGTGAACC